CCGCTCTGCCGGCCACGCCCCTCTTGATGCACCCCAGGATGCCATTGGCCTTCTTGGCAACAAGGGCACCCTGCTGGCTCATGGCCAGCTTGTCGCCCACCAGGACTCCCAGGTCCCTCTGGGCAGAGCTGCTTTCCAGCAGGTCAGCCCCCAGCCTGGACTGGTGCATGGGGTTCAGCCTCCCCAGGTGCAGCACTTGATACTTGCCCTTGTACCACTACGACTTCACCATTGCAAAGAAAGTTTTCCTGCAAGCTGGTCCTCTCCCCTGTGTAAAAGGACAGGCATGACCTTTCCGCTCTCTGCCCAGGGATATTGGTCGAGCAGTTTATTCCTTTTTTTCAGCCCCAAGATGCACAGCTGGACAGACCTCCCCCACTGGCACTACACCACCATGTACCTCTTCTTCCTCCTCTCCGGCATCGTGGATGTCGTCTCGCACTCCCCGCTCAAGCTGCCGCTTGGCTTAGATCGGCTCTCGCTGTCCATGGCTCTGTTCATCGAAGGTAAACCACACGCGGTGCCTGGGAGAGTGCGGGGCACGGGTTAGGGGAAGCGCTGGGAGGGTCACCAGGGTCCCTAGGGCTGTTTTGAGGCTGGCGAGGTGCTGTGCAAGCAGCCGGAGCTGGAGGGTGCGGAGATGCGCAATGGCGCTGGCTGCATCCTGAAGTCACCCCCCCTCCCTGTTCCTCTCCAAATATGAGTCCGGCTGTGGCTGGGTGTCTTGGGTGTGCAGAGGATCCATGGGACCCTTGGGATGGGTGCTGCTCCTGGTGACTCTGGAGTCGCAAAAAGTTGTTGTGCCTTGGCTGGATGCACAGAGGGACAAACCCTGATACAAAGGTCCCTGACACCTTCAGAGCTGGAGGTGCCCATTGCTGCTCTCCTCCTGGCAGCCCCCGTGGCCCTGGCTGAGGCAGGGGGATCCCCCCGGCTATGGGGGGTTACTGTGCGGGCAGAGCGGAGCCCAGCGCCGGGGGCTGTGTGGTTCTTGCCGAGTGAAGGAGATGGCAGCAGGCTGTTTGCTGTCTGGCTCTTCCCACCAGGCAGATCATAGTAAAACCTGGAGCATAGTCCCAGTTTTCAGATATGGGTTTTTTAAAAAAAAAAAAAAACAAACCAGCCAAATCCCAGGGCATCCTTTTCTAACGTGGTATGAATCTTGGCAGGTTTGCTCTTCTGTTTCCGTGACTATGGCGAGGCTGGGCTGGACCACCACCTCCATTCCCTGCTGGCCGTGGCTATCTTTGCTGGAGCCCTCTGTGCCCTCCTAGAGGTGTTCCTCCGAGACCACATCATCCTGGAGACTTTCAGGACCAGCTCCTTCCTTCTGCAGGGCTCTTGGCTTTGGCAGGTTGGTGCGCATCCTCCTCTGAGCTGGCACCGGGGAAGGCAGGCGGTGGGGGCTGCCCTGCCCTTTATGGCATATCAGTTTGGGTTAAACTTGTAGGCTGGTTGGAATACCTTAGGAAGAAAGGAGGCTCAGTGCCCGAGCTGCCATTGTGGAGATATGTACGGGTAATGTAGGCAGCGTGGGCAAACTTGTGCTAAACAGGAATTAGACCCCACAAGAACAGGAAACCGCAATCGTGAGGTTTTGTGTCTTTTATTAGGTCAAATTTCTTCCTCTGTTCCAAGTAACTGGACAGATCTGGAAACCTCTCACGTAATCACCCAGCTTTGGGTCTAAGGAGAAACACACGCCCTGGCAATGCAGCCTTTGGGTCGTCGGCTTTCTCTGGGGCTGCTGGGCTGCCCTGCGATCCCTAAGACTTGTCTGCAGAGCACCCCTCTTCTCCTGAAATGCACCCCCGTGTCAGGCTGGGGAGACAAGGATGTTTGGGAATGCCCAGGGCAGCAGTCCAGGTGTTACTCGGGACTATTGTGCCTCTAGTCCATAGTCAGGTGCAGCAGCTTGGCTAAAAACAGGAGGAAAAGCGAGGAGGGATGTGCTAAAGCCCAGTGTGTGTTGATGCCTGACATCTCCTCCGTCTGTGACCAGATTGGGTTTGTGCTGTCCCCTCCGTGGGGAGGACCGGGCTGGGACCAGACCGACAGCAGCAACTTCACGTTCCTCACCATGTGCTTCTGCTGGCACTACGCCGGTGCTCTCGCCGTCCTGGCAGCAAACTCCGCTGCATCTCGCTGGTACGTGGGGGAGAGGGGA